CTTGAAATTTTTCAATTTGTTTAGCGGTGCTTGGACGCTGCTGCCGCTGCTCTCTGATGATCTTCATCTTCAATGTGGATGGCATGGTTTAATACATGGACAAAAATTTATAATATATAAAAAAATTATAATGTTTGATATTAAATGACACAACAATATTACATAACTAGCGAATATCTCAGATACCCGACATATTGATCTGATTAGGGAATTTTAAATTTGATGTCTTAGAATGGTTAAAATATCAGAAAATTGACATAGCAAGGATAATATTACTTTGGAAATATCTGAAATAAAATATAATTATTTTAGTCCTGATGTTAACTTTCTCAAGTATTGATTTGATTAATTATAGTACTGATTTTTTCCTGTGCACCCACACATGTGGCTGCAATTTGGCTGGGGCATCGCCTTTGCCTTCGACTCTGCCACATGTTGTTTGCCTTCCTCTGTCTGTCTCTGCATGTCGAGTGATAAAAATCTCTTAACCATTTTTCATCAGCCTATTAAGTTACATAAGTCACACGGTTCCTGCTTGTTGTTATGCCCTCCGTCTGTCCTGTTGTGTAAATATCCTTTGGCGTGCTAATGAACCCTTTGACACCAGTAGGAATCAGCCACAAGCGACCCGCACCCAGCGATTATTCGACCTCCCTGACAGCCATCAGAAATTCCTACTGACAGCAGATGCCACATAAATCAGGCGCTGCGAATGAAGAATTCGCTGCGGTAAGCTCATTAATAAATTAAATGCATAAAATCACACAAAAACACCTAGGATTACTCCTAAGCCAGATGGGCGGGAGCATAGCTATAGATGCACCGACAAAAAATTGTTTTTTGGTGAAAAAATTAGGACCCTACAATATGGGGCATTTTTATTTATTAGATAATATTACTTACAAGAAAAAATTATATCTGTGGTCCGATATCTGCATACATCAATCAATGAAAGTTTGGTTGTTATAATGAAAAACCAAAAATAATCTATACATTTATTAATACGTTTACTATTAAAACACTCTTAGTGTAAATTGTATTATATATTATATATTGTTATTAAAAAATTCATATGTTGTTCTTTAATATCAAGAAATGTTATTTGATATATATACATTATAAATAAACTTATTAAATTTGTACAGATATACATCGATTCGATGATCAATATAGAAAATACTTATTTTTCCCTGTGTACCTTCGATTACACGCCCCCTTTCAAGGCTGAACAGAACAACTGCAGCGCGAATGGAAACCCTTAGGGGCTGTTCCTGATAACGGCGACGGCAACGACTCTATATCACGCACAATTTGTGTTCGGGAAAAGTGTTCCGGAGGAGTGCCTGCAAGAGCGTCTATAGACGTATACGTGGATGGATCTAGGTTAGGCCACACAGCTGTGGCATATGTAAAAATAAACACATAAAACTGCACTTTTACTAATTGCTCCAGGGAAGCAAAAGAGCACCACCGCCGAAACGGATAGAGGAATACTGAAAATGCCTTGGGTGCAATCCGAAAAAACATTCGAAACCAAATCGACAATAAAGCCCCAGTGAGATAGATACGAAGTCAAATGTGTTTCGAAAGTATTATGTTTGTGGCAGGAAAACTTGATGTTCACGTGCTGTCTGCTTTCATGATTGTCAAGTGGTTCGGCCATATTTCGGTGTATTTGCGTAGTCTATCTTGAATTATATATTAGTGTTTTTTATAGCATGAGATAAAGAGCCACCCTCTAGAGACTCTTCACCGAAATGCTACCCCAAAAGAGGCATATAATACGATAGAACATTTGGTGATGGGATTATGTTTTTAGTCATCATAAATTATAAACTTAATGAAAACCAGCAGATGCATGTTAAGCGATCTTAAAAAGTAAGCTCCATTAAAATAAAAGAAAACATTGAAATCCCTGTTACAGGGTTACTTCCGTAACCACTTACAACACCTAAGGATGGAACCACTATTTCACTTCACACAATATCTGAAGGATGCAAGTGAACCGTGGAGGATCCCCAATCTTTGGCTTCTTTGAACCCACCGTGTAAACCCTGATAGCGCTATCTCGAAAGGAAGTGGTAAGTACACCACCATTACAATGTAAATTTCTAAGGGCCTGTGCATCCTTTTACGCTTCAACAGTTTTTATAGTTGTTTGCCTGTAACGAAGGAAAGTGCCTAAAATTCAAGGTATATAAGGGGGAGTTCCTATGGCAGTGAATCACTTTAAGGGCGTGTCCAGTGTTCTGGTTAAATAGTTTATGTTATGTTAAGGTAATGAACTTGAAATTTATATGCAAAGACCATGTAATTTGCTCATTAACAAATTTGTCGAGGTTAAGACTACCAAATATTTGAGATAGCGGGGTTGGTCACTGAACCATCGAGAATCCCCAACCACTTGAGCTCTGTAGACAACCCTTAAAGTAACACACATTTCGAGACCATCTCGTCTGTCACATTATAACTCAATTTTAAATTGTGCTGAATTCTGCTTTCGACATATTAAATTAATATTGACACATTGACAGCTGCCAAAACAAGATTCTCTCCCTTTCAGTCTCAACAATTTTCTGCCATTGTGGGCAATCCGACCACCCGCTGCTGGATTCGAGTTTTTCCGATGCGGGTTCGGATCGAACTTCTCAAATTCGTCGACTAATCATGCGCAACGTTTGCTATTTGGGTGAAATTTTTAATTGACCCGAGCAACGCAACGCGATCGAATTGAAAGGCCAACGTTCCGTGGAAATTGTCAGTGTCATCGCGGGGTTTGGTTCCCATTTTATGTTCGATGGTGTCTTTATCTAAAGCGCGCCTGGGAAAAGCGCACGTTGCCTTAATTGATTGATAGATAGATAGTTGGATAGATAGATATAGACTAATGGCATCATGAGTTACAAAAGGTCTCGGTCCTATGCGTTTTTGTTTGATTTACCCTAATTTGGCCATGGACTGAAGTGCAAAGTAAACATTAAATTGGCGTAAACTAACAAATAGTGCTGTGTATTTCATTCCCATTTTAGTCAGTTTTCATTTGGGATGGGTTTTGGGTATGAAATGGTTTTTGGTTCCATTGATCAGAGTAATCATATAAGGGGTATGGTGCTTTAGGCAATTTGTCGTTTGCACCTCGTAAATGATTCATGGTGAATCATTCTATATTGTCGCTAGGGGTTGATTCTATAGTACATATGTTTCATTAAAGAAAAGATTAATTAAATTCAAACAAGATGCTTAAAAACATATTGTTATAGCACCATTACTGTCAGATATGTCAAATCGCTTAGTTATAATCCTATTAAATCTCTGTTAATGATAATAAGTCCTTTATCTTTCAACTTTTTGGACGGCTTCCATTTGGAAACTTAAATAAATTCAATTTTTATTTTATTTGCCTCTGTTTTAATGAGCTGTTTGTTTCTCCACCATTTTCTCCTCGCTTTTCTCCTCCGACATTTTTTGTTACAGGCCATTCATTTTCATTGTGGCATGTCCACTGCGATCTTATGAATGAACATTTTCTTTTTGGTGGCCTTTCCTGGCGATCGCAGGCATCAAAAGTGCCGTTCTTGGCCATGTCTTGAGTTGCCATCAAAACAGCGCCTGGGGCATGGTCGTCCATCATCGTCGCCGGCTTGGGTGAACGCCCACGCCCACGCCCATCCCCTGCCACGCCCCCTGCGCCCCCTTCCGCCCCTTTGAGACTGCGTTTCCAACTTTTTGTGACTCGCTTCAATGAAGCGTGCCAATTTTCAATGAAATGTTTCGGCATCTTGTGTTGTGTGCCCTTTTTTAGACGACTTTGGTTTGGTTTCTTTTTTTTTTTTATTCCCTTGCTGCCCTAATTTGTTGCATGTTCTCAGTGGGCTTTATGACATTTGTGGTATCTCTGGACTTTCCTTCTTCTCTCTTTGCCAACCATAAAATGTCAACAAACATCATTTATCATTTAATGATATGACTTATCATGAAGTGAACTTGACCGCTCCCAAGGTGAATGCACAAAATACATTCATTTAATACGTGTTATACTAAATATAATTTGCCCACAAAAAATGTCGGTTTACCTTTCCGTTTACATATGAAACACGTTTTTGTAAACTTATTCAATAATGGCAGGTCATTGTTTTAATTCTGACGAACAAGGAAATGCGGTTAGTAATTGGCGTCGGAATTCCCCTGGGAAAGCAAGTGCTTTTCTTAGATAGAAATTCGTGCTTTATTCAAAGCGATGTATCCTGAAGCGAATTCTGTGGAAAATATGATTCTATTCTTTGTTGATAAGAATATGTAGTTAGTAATCTTTAATGAAAAAAATAATGTGTTAATTTATTTCACACAATTGTTGTTTTTCGCAATTGAATTTTATAAGCCGGTTGATTACATATTTATTTCGCTTTAAACGTCAAAATGAGTTAGAAAAAAATTATCGCCAAAAAATGAAAGCTTTTTGATTACCTCTGGAGCTTAAAATTGTAAGAAACCTATATAGAATTATATTTGGAATTTGATTTCTTTGTTTCGATTAAGCGGCAAATTTCTTGTTTAGCTGGTTCGTTGTTGTTTGCTGTCAAAATTCCCAGTCTAATTAATTTATTGAACTGTGTTGTCAAAAGTTCATTGGCCAAGCCTATTTCGCAGTACAAAATGATATGTTTGCAAGTTCTGAACACGTGAACACCCATATGATCGGTAAGGGGTGAAAATGTGGGCTAATAATTATTTTGGCAAGACTGGCAATCAACTGCGATCACTTTGTAATTATCACAGCACATATTCGAGACAGTCAAACAATAAGATTAAGGCAAACAACAAGCGTCGCCGGTTGTATCTTTTTGTGTCTCAGTGCCAGGGCGGCATTAACACTTGAATCCCACAGATACTGCTAAGCTTTTTTTTCTATATGCTTTGTGTATCTGCCGACGTCGGCTGAGACTTCGACTTCGGCTGAGGCTAATGCTGATTAAGTTGAGGTGTTCAACGCTTCGTGCCGCCGACTTTTAGTGATAACCGCACTTTGGTGCCCAGTGGTCGCGTTTCGCGCTAAACTTCAGTTTGAATTCGAAACGTGCTAATTTTGTTGAATTTCAAGTGTAAATATATTCAAGTGTTTTTTTGTGCAAAAAAAACAGTCAGCATTTAAAAAAGGTTAATTATTTGTCCTTAAACACAATATAATTAATGTTTGCACTGTCGGAATGGTTGAAAATGTTTTTAAAGTTAAAAAAAATTGAGTACGATAGATGACAGAATAATTACAATTTGTTTTATATAATTTCGCAGCTGTTTAAGGAAAATTAGCTTGTGTAGAATTATTTAATGAATCTTAATCTTCAGAAAATTTACAACTAAACAGCTCTAATTGTTGCAATTAATGTCGTAAAAAACGGCAACCAGTTTATATTGCATAAAAAATCGTTTTGTAAATGTCAAGAATCTTCAAATGATTTAACAACTATCAATTATATTTGCTTATAAAAATGTTCAGAAGACAAAAATGTTATTTCTGTTTCCCAAAAAAACTTTCACATTCCTCTCAATCACAATAAATTACTTTTACTTTCGAAATTCATTTGCTTCGACTCTTTTATCCATCAAATCTTTTAAATTGTTACAAGACCAAACCTCCCAGCACTTGGAAAAAATAATATATTTTTAATTCCCAACAAATAAACAATTAGTGGAGGCAAGCAATAAACAAATTACAGCGCAATTATGCCCTAACATCCAACCTTGACCAAAGCCTAGAAAAAACTTAGTTAGCTTACAATTCCACTGGAATTACATAGCTAATATGAGGAAACACAATTAAGCTATAAAAGTATAACAGTAAAATGCTATGCGAATTGCGAGCTGCGATGACAAAATTATTTCCACATGCGATTTATCAGCACGGCTCAATGACGACAACTTGTAGCATGTTTACTTGTGTGTTTCACTTAGCTGTTATAGAGCGTCAACCTATACAATAAGTTACAAAAAAATTAGCCCGGAAAAATTTCAGACAGATGTTGAAATACGCTATCATTTTTCATTTTATTAGGATTACATAAATCCCACATTACTCAGAACATAAAAGGTGTGAGTGTTACTAAACAGCTTTCGTACCTTTTTTCAGGGTAACAAACCAATAAAACTTGATTAAATAACAAAGCTTTCATTTAAATCCAATTAAACCAAGTTTAATTTGGGCTCCACAATCTAACTTTTCAAGGACAGATAAACAAGTGAAACCTTTTCGGAAATTTACGAATGTTGACCCACTTCCAGATAGCGATAAGCAATTAAAGATTAGACCAACATAATGAAATTTTTATAATGTCTGGAAATCTAAGTGATTGCGTTAAGTTGAGACCTACCATTTAAGGGGTGTAAACAACAAGAATGCTGTCTGGTCCACTTAAAATATTAATTGCTAATTTCAAAATGATGAAATTACCTTGCTGCATTTCAATAAGATCTAATTCTCTGACAGAAAGCCGAGGGTGTGTTCACTTAATAGACTGAATCTATAAAAGTCTGAAAAATCCAGATGCAATACAAAGAAATATCAGATCAGATATGATTCCCATATTAGTTGCAATATAATTTAAATATTTATTTATGCCAAGTGGACAAAGAACATGTGAACGTAAGCGATTTATAGAGGTGTTAACTTCAATTAATTATTCAGTTGTAACAGTTTCCCTTTCATCCATGTGCAACACATTCATTTTCCATCTGGAAGATCCATCAAACCAGAAATATCATCAATAACGCAATCATTTGCAATCAGAATGTGTAAAGCACTTTGCGTTATGCAAATAACGAAATCAAACACCGAACATAAACTGCAACTAATGCTAATCTGTCGCTAATAACGCGGCTCGCCAGACAATTTAATTGAGGCTGTTAATTGTCAATGTTGATTTCGAATCAGATGGAGATGCAGCTGCAATGGAAGTGTTGGATGTTGATCTTCCTGATCGGACTGCCGGAATTTGGATCTGGCTACCGGATACTCTTTATGGGACCCTTTCCCGCCCCAAGTCACTGGCTCTGGTTGGAACACTTCCAAAAAGATCTTCTGCGGCAAGGACACCATGTGACCAGTGTGAACAATCATCCCACCAAACAGCCCCACGAAAATCTTACGGAGATTATCATCAGTCCCTCTTTTGATATACCCAAGCACTGTGAGTTGGATAGATTAAAACCCTAAATAGTTATAAATAAATAATTTTCGAATACCTAGTTCCAAAGGAGAACATCTTCACAATGCAGTTTGTAAGCGATTTTAATAACCTGGATCTTTGGTGGACCGTCGGTCTTATGACCACGGAGCATGCTTTCAAGGATCCCAAAGTGCAAAAACTAATTGAGAGCAAAGATGATCATTATGATTTAGTCATACTGGAGCAGTTCTTCCACGAGGCCTTTCTGATGTTTGGCAAGAGATTTAATTGTCCGGTGGTTACAATTGGCACTATGGGCTATCCCGATAATATCGATCATGCAATGGGTATCCTAACTCCTTGGTCCTTCATTCCCCATCTGGTGTTGTCGCATACAGATCGCATGACCTTCAGCCAACGTGCTTATAATGCTTATTTATCTTTGTACGATGCGATTATGCGACGTTGGGTATACTTACCAAAAATGCAGATGCTCGCAGAGAAGTATTTCAAGGGAGCCATTGAGGGTGAGTTCTTGAGATCTGACATATTATTATTTATTTATTTAATAAATATTTTTTAGGTCCACTACCCAACGTTCTTGACCTTGAGCGCAACATCTCGCTTGTCCTGATCAATGCCCATCGCAGTATAGATCTTCCGAGACCCAGTATGCCTGGACTTATAGACGTGGGCGGAGCGCACATTCAGAAACCAAAGAAGTTGCCCACTGACCTTCAGAACTTCTTAGATAATGCCAATAATGGAGTGGTCTACTTCAGTATGGGTTCTTATGTGAAGAGCACAGATCTGCCGCCCGAGAAGACAGCTCTGATTCTGAAGGCCTTTGGCCAGCTCAAGCAGAAGGTGATTTGGAAGTTTGAGAATGATTCCATAGGTGATCTGCCCTCGAATGTGATGATCAAAAAGTGGATGCCCCAGAACGACATTCTGGCCCATCCGAATGTCAAGCTCTTCATCACGCATGGTGGTATTTTTGGAACCCAGGAGGGCATCTACTGGGGTGTTCCGATGCTGTGTATACCGCTCTATGGAGATCAACACCGAAACACGATCAAATCGGTGCGGGAGGGTTATGCCCGTTCGCTGGTGTTCTCCAAACTCACCACCGATGATCTGGTACGGAATATAAACACTCTGATCAACGATCCGCAGTACAAACGTAGTGCTCTGGAGGTCTCGCAGCGTTTCCGCGATAATCCCATACATCCGCTGGATGAGGCCACCTTCTGGATAGAGTACACCATCCGACATCGTGGGGCAAGGCATCTGAAGTCGCAGGGCGCCTTCATGCCCTTGTATCAGTATCTTCTGCTCGACGTCTTGGGCTGCCTGTTGCTGGGCGCCTTCCTCGCCATCTGGCTGCCCTGGCGGATGATCAGGAGGGTCCACAAGTGGTGGCTCAAAGGGGAGGTCTCCGACAAGCTTAACGAGAGCAAGAAGCGGCTGTAGAAGATGGCCAGCTCTTAACTAGTCGCCTGGATGATTAATTGTGATATATTTTTAGATCACATAATATAAAGGAATTGATTTTATTGTGTACGCATTACTTGCTATTGTTAGCTAACAATAAAAACTGTAATTAATTAGACAATAATATAAGAAAATGTTTTTTTCTTACATTTTTTACTTTACTAGAATGTGTATACCAAACGATCGTCTTTTTATTTAAATAAGTTTCCGCAAAGTTTGCCATCATTTTCTGTTTGGACGTTATATTATTTAAAATGATTGCCTACTTTTTAGCGGATTAGAAAATAATAAGTTAAAATGTTGCATGCTTAATGGGGCATAATTAATATGTAAAATGTAATATGTATGTAATAAAGAAATGTTGATTTAATAACACGTTAAAATAGTTTAATATTTTAATATAAGAACTTTTTTTGGAAAAAAAGACAAAAAGTAGACAATTAGACAATTAAAGTTTTTAATACACGAAAATCTGAAATTTACTTTATGTTAAAATGTGATAAAATAAAAAAGGATCAAATTTTATGTCTCTATAAAATTGTTCTACCAAAACTTTGAGTCTTTAAATTAAGCATCTCCATATTTAAGTCTTAAGTGATGTGCCAATTAAATAAGCTAAAATAGGAAAATAGTTAAAACATTGAAAACAATGAAAAAATGCCAATACATATCTCATAGTTAAAAGTGTTTTGTTTGTTGCCGGCTCAATCAACAATCACGAAGTGTTAGACATTCTTGTACCTCATAAAACACCCACATAAAGCACGTTTCTGTGGATTATAAAAAATAAAATTAAAATGATGCAGCAATTTAAACTGAAGTGGGGAACAAAGATATCAAAATAGTTGGACAAGAGGTTTTGCGACGGACTTAATTTGTAAAGAGGAATTGGAGTTTATTTATATTTATTTCTCGAAGTAATCAGAAAAGTATATGTAATGTTCTAGTGTTTAGGAATGTGTTTATAAAGTTAAACGTTTAAACAGCTGTGGAAAATTGTATCTATACCAGTAAAACATTTTTTATGGTTTTTTTATACTTTCACTGCGTGGCCACCTTGAGGAGGGTTAAAGTGCGAATATTTTATAGCTGATAAAGGGGAACCGGTTGAACTAAGGCTTACAAAGTCATGTGGGCATCTTTTATTGTTGTTGCCGTTGCTGTTTGTCTTGTGTTTGCCGACTTTAAATTGTAAATTTTAATTTTATCGATACATAAATTACCAACTGGCCCTTTCGCCCCCTTCTTCAGTCATTGAAATTAGTTTGACATAACGTGAACAACACGTTAAACACTTGAACGACTTTTCGGAGGCAGCTTTTTGTATATTATATTATTTTTGACTAACGGAATTTTTTACCCTTTTTTTGTCTCATTTTGTGTATAAATTGTTTTCAAATCTCATTAAAGCGATATTTATTTATTTATCTGTGATCGTCTCTTTTACGTAATGCGTTAAACCGGACCTCGAAACTTGGCAGATCTTGACGCCATTTGAAGAGCCGTAAAAAAATCGATTTAGTGCCTGGCACACGATATTCTCGAGGCTGAAGATTGGACAACGGCCACTCTATGACACTTGAGAGGCTCTTCTGATATCGAAACCTATAAAAAAGATCTGACAAAAATTCCAGATACAAGTTCGTAAGTTTGACGCCAGACACTAAAGAATTCAACCGGATAGAATACACCTTTATTTGATTTCTTTAAGATATACGAAAAGGATCTTAAGGTCAATTGGGCCGTATAAAAACCCCACATCCGTTATGACAATTAGCAAGTGTTGGCCCAAAACCGAAAGTAATATAATGTATTTGCCCCGCCATTGCATTTATTAATTATTGTTAACCAAAAAAAGTCGCCACTCTCCGTTCGCGTCGTTCAGATCACATGAGTTCAAGCAAAAACAAAAAACAACCGAACAAACAACTTTGGTTTTCGATATTTTCTTTAGTTAGAGCTTTGGGGCTTGGTTCCTGTTACTACCACTATTTGCTGAAGTCAAGCTGCAGAGGGCAAACCACGAAGTCGAAAACGTTAAAAATCCAAAATGGAGATTAGCATTAAGCACGTGATGCCATCTTGTGATGCCAATGTTTTTTTGTATTTCATTTTTTCAGAGAAATATCTTCATAGAGATGCTGGCTCGCCGTGTGCTCAAGTTTGTCAACACATCTATTGTAATTAAGCGAGCGGTCGTTTAAGTGTAATATAAGCTATGTTTTTGTTTTGGTCATCGGAGGTGACAAATTAAGGCCCCATCGCAAGGTCATGTGAGGGGCGTCCATTAGCCATGAAGAGACATCAAAAGGGTAAAACAGCAGCTGAAAAAAATGGCAACAAATCAAATGACACCGGCTGCGCAGATCTTCAAAAGTAAAATGTCGTGCCATTTGTCGCCGTGCATTTCAGCTCCCGTGCGCTGATTGATTGGAAAGTTAAGGTTGTCCATCATCATCATCATCATCGAAATGAGGAAAACATAATGCCAGCTAATGTGAGATTATGCAAATGAAAATGCGCATCATTCAGCTCTCGATAAATACATTGACCTGCATGCCTGCGGGCCTGAGCAAATTCCACACAACACGGTTTTCTTCATGTCTTTAATGATGAAATTATTCCGAAAATGAACACGAAAAGGTGGGGACTCATGTCAGAATGCACTTTCTACAAGGGAACATGTTGACGTTGTTTTTGAGTTGTTAACGATTTTAGGAAGATATTTTACACGTGTTTTTAGTGGGTATCAATTTGGGCATAAGAGTGTGGGAATTTATTTATTATTAGCTATTGACCAAGTAATTGGGGAAAACAACTTATAAATGTCCACAGTGGTGTTTCATTTATTATATTGCCAAAATTTGTTGTTTTAAAATATGGTTTGAAGGATAAAGTATTTTAAATAACATGTATTAAATGTATGTTATTTAAAACAAATTGTTTAATGCACAAATGTTGAATGTTGAATCTGTGTACATTTATTATAAATGAAAAAAAGGATTTGATATTTCAAAATTGTAATTGGGGTTTATAAATTGAAAAAAATGTTCTATTGTGTAAGAATAAAAACAATGTTGAACAGTTGCTACAAATAATTTTTTAAATATTAATATTTAAAGAAAATTAATGTTTTTTGATGAGAAAATAAAGGCTGATGAATGCTAACGTTTTTTCACGTTGTCGGGGAATTCCCGGTTGCTAAAATATTACCCGTGAAACAAAGTTGATGATATTTTTAAACAGAATTATTCAAATTAGTTTAAGCTATGACGCATTTTAGATGATTGGATAACAGTGAACATATCGAGTTGATTTTCGGTTAGAAACTTCACGTGAGTCTGTTGCATCAATATTCATGCAAATTTCTCTGCACCAAAAATATGACAAATTCGAAGGTCTAAATGTTTTTGGCTGATTTCAATTAGCGATTCAAGTGTCAGCCTAATATTTATTTTTTTCTTTTCGGGGTGAAGCCTTCTTTTTGATGACATTTAGCTGTCCAATTTATGGCTGTCGGACATGCGCCACCTGTCGGCGGTGTTTGCCTGGCATTTTAGCACCCGGTCACTAACTGAAATGTTTGGCCAAGTAATTAACTTGGCCAAGTCAGCTCTTGTGTCTGGGCATCGCGGGGGATGCCCTACCGTTGCATTCGATTTCTAAACGAGTCACATTGCCCAATGGCAGAAGAGAGACCTTTGCAGGCTGCCTACGAATGTGAGTCTTAGAGTGGAATTGGAATTGGAACCCTAAGATCGAGACAAAGTCTGGGAATGTCTATGAGGTTTGGGGTGCTTGGATCTTACATCACAGCAGGAGATCCCAGAGTCGAGACGAGTCTCGTCCCACAATAAGATGAAACTTGTTTCCTCTCGACTCTTAGCCAGCAATAAATATTTGCCTCCTCACTCGGCTTTTATATCTTCTTACTTTTCGTCTGCTTTTTTGGGGGGAACTTTTGTTTTTGCTTCTTGTGCAAATTACAAAGCGCGTGACTCCTTTCACAAGATGCGATTTGAAATCAAGAGTGCAGACAAAAGGTGTCAAAAAAAAAAGAGCCTCTGACCGCAGACGAAACAAAAGCGTGAGTTTTTGGCCTGATTTTTGTGTGTCATATATATATATATTTCTTTTATATCTCCTTTTTTTTGGTTGATGGTCAATACTGGTGGTATTGGCCCTGTCTCATGCTGTGTAGTTGAGTGTACGGCAGTCGCATCATTTTTACTTTCTCCCCTCAAACTCAAGCTGAAGCTCGAGAAAGAGAGAATATGAGGTGTTGGCCCAGAGAGCCCAAAAACCGCACAGAGAGCAGAGCTTCGTGTCGGTGTTACCGGTTTCGCTATGGGGTGAAGCTTGGCTTACAGCAGATCCGTTTTGGTGTCTGTGTGCCTTGCCTTTTAAGCCCGGCCACCGGGACTGGCAGCTTTCAGATACGTTTTTGCCTCTGCCGCGTTCAGAGTCAGAGTCGGATTTATCGTCGGGGTCTGGGTCTGGAAAAGATCTTGGATCTTGGTCTCCGTTTTCGGTTTACGGTTTCGTTTTGTGTGTTTCGGTTTCGGTCGCAGATTCAGTTTCAGTTCGTTGGCGCGTTCGCACGGATCGAGACGTGTGCACGGCTTAAATCACACAACTAAAAAATAAATATATATATTAATACATATAGATATATAATACCCCTATTTGGTGGCCAAGATAGGCTCGTCGCTCTGCTATTCGGGTCAATGCTGTGCTCTGCATTGCCAACGTTATGCTAATTACCGAAAGGATACAAATCATAGCATACATCATCGGTTACAATCTCTTTGGCAAGACTCCGTCGCACCGCTGGTGACAAATTCCTCGCCCGGTGCCCCACCCGCCTGTTAAGCGCTAGAAGTAAAAAAGAGTTAAAACCAGCCAGGAGAATAGCTAGCAACACATATATTATATATATTACTGATATTTATTTAATATAATATATATATCAAATCAAC